TTTTATCTATTTATGTAATTATCCTTGATTTATTATTACCTTTAAGGTTATCCTTCCAAAAAGTTAAGTTTGTCATGTAACTTCCTTGAAAACTATTTAGATATTCGTTGAAAATCCATTGCATTTGTTTAACTCTTACAACTAACTCCTCCAAGAACCTCATTGGAAAGTTGAATGTCGGACACTTCAACTCACAACTAAAATCCTAATAAATTACACACCATCTATGTCATCATCTAAATAGTGTTTGTATATTAACCTGTGCCTTACCATAATGCCATATGAAAAACTTCATTAATAATTCATAAGCTTTAATGAGACCCGCCTTGGATCTAGATGGAAAAACTCGTGGTGCACCCTCTTATACTTCCTTCTATCATCCTCGAAGGATCACAAGACAATCACAAGAAAAAAAATCATCACACTGTCTCTTCCCTCGTTGATTTCTCTCTCTCTCTCTCTCACTCACTCTCTCTCTCTCTCTATCTCTATCTCTTTCTCTATCTCTTTCTCTCTCTCACTCACTCTGGTTTTTGGAAAGATCTCGCGAGTATGTACACAATGAAATTGATATATTAGTCTTTATGTTGCTTTCTTTCCTCACACAAAAGCATATGGGTATGATTTATTGATAATAACATAATGGGGTATTAAACTATCAATTTGGGATGTGCATTTGGACCGAGCACCCGAACCGAAACTGAAACCCAAACTGGACCGACTAGAATTAGGATAGAATAAGTTATTTAGGTCGATTCTCGGGTATTTATTTTAGCCTAATTCGGTTCTCGGGTTCAGGCCCGATTTTAAGGGGGGGTAAGAGGGACAGCCGCATAGAGCCCGAGTTTTAATTAAATTATATATTTAAAAACTAAATATATATGAATTTATTCAAGATATTTCATAGAGTTTGGGTAGCCCAATTGGCAAAGACGTGTCTTTTATTCAAAAGCAAAGGAGGTTCGATCCTCTTTCACAACATTTTATGTTTTAAATTCAAGTTACACATTTGACCATTTCTTTATGCTATATATTTCATAATCAACCCCTCCTTCCAATATTTTTAACAAATCAGTTTTCAGAAGTTACATAATTAGCCCTTGAACTTTTTATAAAATTTCATATGTTCCTTTTAATTAATTTATTTGTTTAAAGTTTTCCGTAACGATAATTCACCGTCTTAAATTTGTTTTCCTTATATATTAAAAATTATATTTAGGGCCCTATTTTTCTTCTTAGTACAGGGCCCTTAAAATCATAGAGTCGGCCCTGCTCGGGTTATTCGGTTCGGGTTACCCGAATAAATGTTTAATGGGACCAAAAGGACCGACCCGGAAATTGAATAGTCACTTGATCGATTCCTCTTGGCTCTTGCGTATTGCGTATTGTCGTACCCACCGATCGAGAAAGCCAATTGTGGACACATTGATGAAGTTTTGAAAAATGATGACGTCGTGAAAGAGTTGAAAAATGTGATAAATGATGGAGGTGGAAAGGAAAAACAATCAATCAATATTCCTGAATAGTTAACTTGTATTTGGTCATTGTTATTTTGGGAAAAACTTAAGACTCATATTTTAAATTGGATGTTTAATGTTTAAATATGAATTATGGATTTGTGGAATATGAATTAACAATGTTTAATATATTTTTTATTGAACTAGATATAAAATTTACTTATTTGGATTATTCGGGTCATTTCAGTTAAAAAACATAGTGTACATGTTATTTTGTCCTTTTGGGTTAATAACCGCACCGAAACTCATATTACCCGAACCAATCCGATCCCGTATTAGTATAATCGGTTCGATTTCGGTTCCAACTTTTCATCCAATTCTGATTTTGGGTTATTCGGGTCCGGTCCGATTCGGAGCGGTTCTGGTCTGAAGCACATCACTAGTATCAATGAACTAAAATTTTTCAAAAAGTAACAATTTTTTTTTTTCAAATGACCATTATAACGAGAAAACCTACTATTTCATGTTTAATAAAATTACGTTATCAAAAAGATAACGTATATTCAAATCAATAATATTTTTTAAAACGTTATTTTGTTGTTTATTTATGTTATAAACTTTTCATATATATATATGTCAAACATAGTTTATCCCTTTTCTAGAAATTTATAGATAATTAATAAAGAGATTATAGAAAATAGTTATTACAATAATTTTATACAATGTTAGAAGTAACAATTGAGTTATTTCGGATGCCGTAACTTGCTATACAACAACTGAAGTTCGAAAGCAGCATGTTTTGATTGTTACTGTCAATTCAAAAACTCCATTGAAGCGGGAAATACGCCCTCCGTTTGAGCTCCATCCTCAGCTCCAAACCAGGGGATTATGGGACCGAAGACCAAACAAACGATGAAGAAGATACTGAAGAACCCCACTCCCGCCGTTGAAGATGTCATAACCAAATCCAAGAAGAGAACACGAAAGGTCTCCCAATGGAAACCGCAACCAGCGTTTACCATCGGCGACATAGAAGATTTTCAATTTAGGGAAGACGAAGTTAAAGAAATTAGGGCATCCTTGTTGAAATGGTACGACGCTAACCGGAGAGACCTTCCATGGCGGAGGATCAACGACTCCGATGATGAAGACAGAGAGAGAAAAGCATACGCTGTGTGGGTTTCGGAAATCATGCTTCAACAAACAAGAGTTCAAACTGTTGTAAACTATTTCAATCGGTGGATGGAGAAATGGCCGACTGTTCATCACCTAGCTCAAGCTTCCATCGAGGTTTTCAACTTCTCAGTTTCTCAGTTTCATCTTCAATTGTATGATTTTCTTTGGTTAATTAGGGCGAATATAATATTTTTCTACAGGAAGTTAATGAGATGTGGGCAGGATTAGGTTATTACAGACGAGCAAGGTTCTTGTTGGAGGTCGATTTCAAATCCTTGAAATTGCCATTGAATTATTATTCTTGTATTTATGAAAAGCCATCGAAATTCTTATGTGATAGGGAGCAAAAATGATTGTTGAAGAAGGAGGCCAGTTTCCAAAATCATTGAAAGATCTTCTTAGTGTTCCAGGAATAGGTGAATACACAGCTGGTGCAATTGCCTCTATAGCCTTTAAAGAGGTGACTACTTTTTGCCATTTAGTCTTTAATGTTTTACAAATGTATTCACTTTTTCCTTCGATATTTAATAAAAACAATACAGGCATTAAGAAATATTTGTAATGTAGGCAGTGCCTGTGGTTGATGGAAATGTTGTTCGGGTGATTGCTAGATTAAGAACAATATCTGCAAACCCTAAAGACAAAGAAACTGTCAAAACCATATGGTGAGTTTTTATAACCGAGCTAATGTTAGCCCATGTGTACCTGATTTACAGTGTGGGTCAGCTTAGGGGTTGTTGGAAAAATAACAAAATTTAGATGATGTTTGATGGTTGAATGGTGTTTTTTCTTTACAGGAGATTAGCGGGGCAACTAGTTGATGATGATAGGCCGGGAGATTTCAATCAAGGTCTTATGGAACTTGGTGCTACATTATGTAAACCCTTAAACCCTAACTGTTCTATTTGCCCGATATCTGCTCAATGTGGTGCACTTTTGGAGTCCAAACAAAACCCATCAATTGTTGTTACTGATTATCCAACTAAAGTAGCAAAAGTGAAACAAAGGCGCGATTTTTCTGCCATTAGTGTTGTTGAAATATTGGAAAGTGAAGAAGGTAGAATGAATAGTAAATTTCTGCTTGTGAAGAGACCGGAAGAAGGTTTACTTGCGGGACTTTGGGAGTTTCCATCGGTCTCTTTGAATGGGGAAGAAGCTGATGTGGATGCAAGGAGAGAAGCCATTGATGATTTCTTGAAGAATTCGTTTGGTTTGAATCTTGATATTGTTTCACGAGAAGAAGTAGGTGAATATGTTCATATTTTCACGCACATCCGCCTCAAGATGTATATCGAGCTCTTGGTTCTACGTTCACAAGGTATCAATATCCATAGTTTGCACAGTTGGTTATGGGGTGGTATCTTTTAAAAAACATATTTAAATCCAGTGTTACCTGATTTACATCTCTTATGATGGGTTTGGTTAATGTTTGTGTACAGAATTGCGTAGAAAGGAGAAAGCAGATGTGTCATATAAATATGTGGATATGAAAACACTTGGAAGCATGGGGTTAACGACTGGAGTGAGAAAGGTATGAATGGATTAAGTGGTTTTGATTTTTGTGGTTTACTTTATGAGGCTTGGTTGATTGTATGCATTGCAGGCTTACAACATGGTCCAGAAGTTTAAACAGAGTAGATCAAGTCTCTTGAAAACAGTTTCTAGTGGAAGACCTGTTATACTTTGATAGTTTGATGTTCTAATGTATCTATCATCTATTACGTATTTCACAACATTATCAGCCCATGAATCGTTAGCTGTTTCTGGTTTTGGTAATCAAATTGCTTGCTACATTAGAATTAGACATGTTTTCCTGCAACAATCAAGCCCATTAAATTTTGAGTCCATGCCATGGTTCATGAAGATACTTGAGAATTAGACATATTTTCTTGCAAATAATAATAACAAAATATAAATGTTTTAATCTTTGAGTATTAAAGGAAACTATAAATATACATATCAATCTTTCCGTATTATCTTATTCTGAAAATACTATGATTCATCTTCATTCTTATGTACCCACCCTTTCATTATGGAAAGATTGATCTATTTATAGTTTCCTATATTTTTGGTTTATTATTCAAAGATTAAAATATTTATAGTTTCTCATTATTTATGATTTTATTTTTCAAATTTCAAATTTCAACGCAGGTTCAATTTCTAAGAGTGATTTTTCTTTCCCAAATTATGTTTAAAGTCGTATAAAAACTAACAATATTTTGGTGGGAGGTTTTTTTAGTTTATATTAATTACTAAACTATATATTTTTTTTAATCATTAATATCATCGAGGTTTTAGTTGTAAATAAAACTGAAGATGAATAAAATGGACTGGGTATGCTAAACTCTTGAACAACACAAATAACAATGAACATGAAAAAACAAAAAGAGTTGGATTTGAATAAAATAATTATACACTCGAACAAAATCAAAATCCAAGAAGAGTACCGAGTATTTGAAGGTTTTGTCAGGAATAAATTTTCAGTAAAAATAAGGAGACCCCGTAACACTTTTTGACTATTTGAGCTCCTGGAAAAAGATTTACTAATACAAAAGAAAAAAGAGCAAAAAGAATATGCAGAACACAATAATCATTCATGTAGAATGAACCGACACATTTATCCCTTGGTAATATGACACTAATATACAGCAGCAACATAAAGTCTCTTACCCCACCATCTCACCAATACATCTGGAGCTCTCTCTCTCGCATTGAATTTTTGAATGCTTGGATGGGGAAGGGGAGTCGAGGGAGAAGTATATAATATCAACATTCTGTGAGTGCACATCTTTTCTTTTCCCACAAAAATATATATTTTTTTTCATATAGAACCATCACATGACTTAAAAGAGCTCCTCTGAATTAAACTTGTTCCAAGCCTCCTATTAATGATTAATCAAACTCAGAATTATCACACCACCCAATGCAATAAAACATTCATTATTTTATTTATGTGGCAATTTTTAACCCATTCAAATGAACATGGGTCAATAGGATTGTAATTTACTGCTCACGAAATGAAAGTCGCCTAAGTGCATTTTAAAAACTATAGATTAATATTTGAAGAAAGGGGTAAAAATGTACTTTTAGATTTTTTATTAGTTCTACTTAGAAAAATTGCTTTCTATTTGGATGACATTGCTATAATTAGGTTAGTTTTTCACAGGACAATACTCTACTGTATGTAGTAAGAGAAAATGAAAGTAGGATGCTGTTTCTTGCATTTAACCCTTGAAAGAAATAGAATTTTTGGAGTCATATAATTACCAGGGCCCAGGGGCGTGCATAAAAAAAAACCCGAACAAAAAATCAAATATAACAAATAAAAAACAAATCGTTTTAAAAAACCCAGTCAGTTTTTTTGACTTTTGAAAAACAGATATTTTACGTAAAATCAATTTATATGACTTATATTTGTTGAACAAAGATTAATGGGTTTGTTTCTTTTTCTTTTTTATAAACTGAACTTAACGGTTATCTACTTAACTTGCTCTCTTTTCTTAGTCTCTTTGAAGTATATTAAAAAAAAAAAAAAAAAAAAAAAAAAATTAAAAATCGGAAAACCAATGTTGTGAAAAAGGAAGAGGCGAGGGATATGTAATGTAAGAATGCACCTTAAGTAGGTCAAAGACCTTTTCAGCAACATATTTCTGTTGAACATTAGCTCCTTTCTGTTGCACCTTATCAGGATGAATACACAGAGTTGCCTTTCTATATGCCCTTTTAACATTCGCACCAGTTATCAAATCCGTCAATGATACAGGCTGCCAACCGCAACCAGGCCATAAAACCTAACACCACCAATTTCAATTATTAATTTTCATTCATGGCATCATAACATTAACATAACATGAATAATGAGATGTACAACATACATATTGTAATGTTGATAGCAATGCACGCAAATTTCCTTCTTTTCCTGCAGCCCAACGCTTGATTTCCATATCCAGGCTATCAGAAATCCTCTGAATAAAAACCAAATATAATAATACATCAGAAAAGAACATTATTTATTAAGCAAGCATGTTGTATTGAGATGATTGGATTGGATTGGATGCTCACATCCTTTTCTTCCTGTTCCCTTTGAGATTGGAGATCACGTTGATTTTTTTCTGCCAGTGCTTTAGCCTATTTATTTAATGCATCAAAATAATCAGAATTAAAATTATATATATTTTTTAACTCGTGAAAAATTACTCCAAAATCACATACTGCGCGCTCCTGAGTGCGTTGCTGTCTTTCCAGCCTGGCTCTTCGCCTTTCCTCTGTTTCCCCCTCAACATCTGGGAACATTCCGGAAGATGAAGGGGCAGCTTTTAAAACAAAATAAACAAGAATGATTAGTAAATACAAGGATATGATTGGTTGGATTGTATGGAATAAGCAAGGCACTATAATCCATGATCATGTTTGGTTCAGATGTAACCAGTAGGAATGGAATGATTTTTTATATTATATGTAGATAAAATATTGCTCTATTTTATACTTCATTTTAATTATAATTAACATAAATTAAATAAGTTCTAATAAAAAACTGTTTTTTAAAAAATAATAATAACTTTGTGTCATCAAAAATTACATAAATTAAAATAAGTTATATTACAATTTTTCAGATAAATGAAAAAAAGAAACACCCTGTGACTAAGAAACCGAAATTAACAAAATGGAAGAAATCACATTACTTCTGCAATGCTCCATTCCATTCCATCGGGTAAAACATGTGTTTTTTTTTTTTTTTCATTTATATGGAATGAACCATTCCATTCATTCCCTGATTCCATCATACAAAAAACTACCCAAGAGAGTAAGCTATTGTACATTAAAAAATAATCTAAGGGTCTGTTTGGTTGGATGGAATGGAATGACAAAGGAATGAAATGGACAAGGTAATGGAATGAGTCTTTACATTCCATTATCATGTTTGGTTGATCTGTAACCCTGTACGAATGGAATGAATTTTTATAATAAATGTAAATACAAAGATATAGTTTTAACACTATTCTATATATTATTTAATTATAAGTATAAAATTTATCATCTACAAAGATAAACTACATAAACATAACATAAGATCACTTAAATCCAAATCAGATTATAATTAAAAAAAACTATTCCCTACTTGCTTTTAGAAAATAAAATTATAAGTTAATTTAGACAGATAAAACTCTTAAAATTTATCTTGGTCGTTATATATTCTATTAAATATAAAAGGGATGTATCAAGTATCAACAATATGGAAGGAATCAGATTCCTTCAGGAATGGACTATTCACTATTGTATTGCCTTAGGCAAAACAGATAGATTTTTTTCATTCCAATGAAATGACTAATTCCATTCCTCCTCCAATTCCATCATACCAAACACTGGCTAAATAATAGTATGTATACCTCCAAATATTGAGCTAAGATCATCAACAATATTGGTGGTGGAAGACGCTTTCTTCATATTGGAATTGGAAGATACTCCGCTACTGGAATTCCAAGTCCGTGGGGCCCCTTCCTGCCCTCTTCTGTTCTGTGATAATGGATCAGGTACAGAATCCTGCATTTCCCACAAGGTTTAGGTTTAAGTTTAACAATAAAAACTTCAAAATTATATATACAAAATCATGATTACACTATTTACTACTCACAGAAGAAGCTGTCCTTGGTCTTGGAGCACTGTTGGGTCGGGAACCCCCACCGAAAAATGAATCAAGATCATTCTCATTCTTTTGTTGGTTCACCCGGGCAGCAGCAGCTGCCCGATCTCGGGCATCAACAGCAGCTCTCTGTCTAGCTTCAGCAGCAACCCTTTCAACAGCAGCCCGTTCTGCCCTACGCCTCGCATCTGCTTCAGCCCTTGCAACAGAAGCTTTCTCAGCAGCAGCCTTTTCAGCAGCTTCAGCTGAAGCCCTCTCTCTAGCTTCAGCAGCTGCCCGTTCTGCCCTTCCCTTTGCATCAATAGCTGCCCGCTCACGCGCCTCAGCTTGTGCTCTTTGAACAGCAGCCCTTTCAGACTTCAAACGAGCTTCAGCAGCTGCCCTGTCACGTGCCTCGTTTGCTGCTCTTTCACGGGCTTCCCTTGTTGCCCTTTCCACAGCTTGTCTAGCCTTTTCCCTTTCAATCTCCCTCATTCTCTCTTTCTCAACTCTACTTTTCTCTCTCTCTTGTTCTTCCCTCTTTGATGAATCTTCTTCAGTAGACATTTCGTCTCTTTGTACTTTTACAGTTACAGATTCTTTGTTTCTAGAAGCTTTTGCGTGTTCTCTTTCCCTTACTTCCTTTGCGTGCCTAAATTTAGCTTCGGCTCTGTCCATGGCATCTTTCATTGCAGCAGCAGCTGAGTTTGAATCAATCTCTTCACCATTAACATGGTCCACACCGTTATCCTGTGTTCCACTTCCACCCATGGCAAAATTCTCAAACTCATCTAATGGAGATGCTTGGAATGGGTTATGACTTTGAGAGTATTTACCAGAATACCCTCTTTCAGATTTTGAAGTATGCCTTGGTATTGGAGGGGGAGGTCTTGAAGGTGGTGGTGCTTTTGTAGGTTGTGTGAATAGAGGTATCTCTGATACAGTAAGCCATATATCATCAGCTGGCTGTTCATGTTCTTGTTCTTGTTCATGTTCTTGAAAACTTGTCTCAGTATATGAAGGTGGAGAAGCAGTTTGATCAACAGACCGATGAGAAGTTTTAGAGACAGGTGGCATGTCAAAGACAGTTTCTTGAGATTCTTGAAAATCTTCTACAGGTGCTTTCTCTGATTGGGTCTCAGGAAATCTAAAAGAAGATTTCTCTGTTGGGTCTTTACGAATTGAACTTCTTAGTCCTTCTTTGGAAGGGCTCTGATCTTTTGCCTTGTTATTTGTCTCACTTGAGAATGCAGGTGCAGGCTTACCAAATCCATGAAGGGGGTCAATGTCATCAAAATCAAACACACCCCTACTTACTCCAGCATTTGTGCTCCCGGATTTATTCATCTTGTGAACTGTTTCCAGTGGATCGATAAAAACACTTGGGGGTGATGTGACAGGTGTTGATGCAGATTCTAGAACCACAAATGGATCATCCATTACTTTAGAAGTTACCTTTGTGCTGCCAGTTGATGCTGGCACTGACTCTGAATTTGACCTGTGAGAAGAGTATGATATTCTGCATTAGACTTTTCATCTCATTCTATCTTAACACATTTTAAAATCAGATTGGCATTCTTCTCATAGCTAAAATTGAGAAGCATAAAGAGTTAAGGGAACAGGAACAAGAAAGCAAGAGCTTCTGCATCTATTTATAAGCTCATTATAATCCTGGATTACAGCAGGAAATTGGAGAAAGAAAATACCAGAGAAGTAAAATGTAGCATATTCAGCTTTAAAAACACCAAAAGTAGGTGAATCCTTAAACAACTACGTATTACCCCGACTTATTGGAGTTTGCATATCACGAGACTCCTTTATCATTAACTTTATTACCATGCAAAGGCAATTCTTCTAGTGATACCAGTTGTGTAATGTGTAGGATAGCATTTTGTTTGGGGGAACATAAAGGCAAGCAATTATGATTCCACTTAACTTATGACTAATGATTTCTGCGTTTCTATAGTTAATGCACACACTCCTGAAATGAATATTCTTAGGAACAAATTATAGTTTTCCCTTTGGATGATTGATCCATATGAAAACCTAGCTATGATGCTAAATACTAACTAGAGTTATACAATTTCAAAACCAAGAGCAGATAAATTCCATAAATACGGGAATCAAACAACTAAAACGCAGTTGAAACATAGCACAGTACCTGCTACTGGATGAAGGACCGCCGCTTCCAAAGCCAGGAAGCAAATCATCGAAACCTCTTGAACTCTTACTAGCCTTCTGCTTTTGTGGCTCAACCTTCTCCGCTCGACCAAGATTTCCTAGTAGATCATCAAAATGATCACTCTGTTGACTCCGTTTAGGCGGCGATGAAGTCATCGAGGCAAAAATATTTTCCTCGTATCTCGCTGAAGCAGAATGCATCGATTTGCTCTTCATTCCGGGCAATCCATCGAAAATGTCGTCATCGTAGACCGGTTTATCGTAAACCGGCAAATTGGAAGACGTAGATTTGTTTTTAGCTTCGTTATTATTCGTGGACGACGAATTCTTGAAAATCGAATCGTAATCGATATCTGACATGGCCGGTGTTGATCTAGTGTTGTTGGTGAATTTCGGCGGACCGCCAAAAACGTCGTTAAAAATTGGATTCTCATCAGCAACAAACGGCGACGGCGACGGAGACGACGATGGTGGAGGTCGGCTCCTGAAATCTCCACCGTCCGATTTCATCGGAGCGGATTTTCCTTGGGGCCTAAACCCGAAATCTCTAGCTAACATACCAAAATCATCCATCTGATTTACCAGATCTGACAACAAAGATGTGGATCTCAAATAATTGAGATGATTATCGAAGGTGAAGTTCAAGATATCAAAAAAGCTACTGATGCACAGCACAGATGCCGAATAGAGAACAAACCAATCGGAGATGGAGTAGCGTTAGGGTTGGGACGACGGAGGTAGAGGAGGATGTGACGGTTGACGGCCGTTGATTTCACGACGAGTTACTTTCTGTTCCTTTTCGTCGTTCCTCCGTCTCTTGGGTCTTGACTGTCTGTTACTGGGTTTAATTTGAGTTTTATTCGTCGTCTGATGAGCCGAGGGCATTTTGGTATTTAACATTTTTCTATTTAAGTTTTACTATCGTCTAATGAGCCGAAGGGTACACACCATTTTAGCTCGTAGTTCGATGTCTAGTCCTAACTTGTTAGTAGCATTGATTTTTGGTGGTTTTAGTTTAACTATGTCATCTTAGTATAATGAATTTTACAGTTTATCAATGAAGTTTAATTCTTAATTTTATTACAAGTTTGAAGGTGCGGAATGTACGTTTGTATAAAACGAGTTTGATCTCAGTTAGACCAAATGATGGGGGTCAAGATGGTTACGCCCCTTTGCGGAGTCCTAGGGGCAGCGCCCCTACTGGTTTGGAGGTTGAGTTGGTACACTAGTAATCCTAATACTTAACATTGGAAAACAATGCAGAGAGTGTTCAAATATTTGAATAGAACCATGAATTATTGACTATGTTATTTGGGGTATCTTTTAGTGTGTTAGAAGGATATTTGGATCAAGTTGGATAACCCATCTTGAAAAACCATTTTTCTACAAGTAGCTGGGGACGGTTTTTGTAAAGTCTTCTAAGGCTTCTAGAAAGCCTTGGAGGATAAGTAAAGAGATTAGATATATGTCTAATTTGAGATGTTATTATTATATTCAAATTAGGGTTATCCAATGATACCTTATTGACCTATAAATAGCCTCTTAAGGCTTCATATTTTCGGCCAACATTTCTAAGATTCATATAGCCGAAAATTCACTCCCCTCACATCTCTCCTCTTGTGTTCTTGTTTCTAGGGTTTGAGTACAAACCATTAGAGGCATCATATCTTTGGTGCTAGTCTTTCCAAGCTTCACAACTACAAGGATTGGTTTGATTTGTTTGCTATAAAAAATCAAAATGTATGTAACATAAACTTTGTAATTTTTGAATGACACTAGGGTTAGGCTAGTTTAATTGTTCATTGTATGTTGCTATCAAGGTGTATGACATAGATCTTTTATAGGATGAATGTACCCTATTAATTGTTAATTGTTTTCCGCATTGTACAATATTGTTTCCGTAACATCCAGTTTCAAGAAGTTTCTTATTTTGAAATTGTGGACAATAAATGGATAAAGTAAAAGCATTGGGCTTCAAAGGAATGGGGTTTAGACCTTATAGGATGATGATAATGTTGGATAAGTGATTAAAGCCTTGGTTTGTGTCTTGGAGTCGAAGGGTAAAATGGGAAAAGTGTTGTTTCAGACTTCTTTTATGAATTAAGGATTTTAGTTGGATGTGTTTTAAGTAAAAAGTAATTAGATAGGGTTGTGGGGCTCGTCAATACCTTTTCGTGCATATAAAGAACGCCGAAAACGTAGTTGAAATAAAGAAGTTATGATTGTTTAAAGTTGTAGTGAAATTTGGTGAAGATATGTTCTCACGAGGTGAGAAGTAATTCTCAGGACGTGAGAGTCCTCACGAGGTGAGAATATATTCTCACGACATGAGAATTGTGCAACCCAAAGCCCACGAAATTTTGAGGGGTTTCAAGGTATTTAAAGGTAAGGATTCATGTTTTAGGGTATTTTCTTAGCCTCCATCCTTTTTTTGGAGTTTTTGGTGGTTTTAGAGCAATGTTTTCATGCAAGATTGATCCTTGAAGCTTGGCAATTGAAGATCTAAACTTTCATCTACCTTTTAGACCTTTGTAAGTTATAAAGTTCCAAGCTTTATTGCATTTCATCTTCAGATCTACATGTATTTGGTGTTTTGGTCCACTTTAATGAGTTTTGAGTGAGAGTTGGGAATAAAGTTTGCAACTTTATTACTCTCCAAGGTCCCAAGAACATTGTATGTTTCAGATATGGACTCCAACACCTTTTGATCAAGTTTAGAATGTTTTGTTGGACCTCATGGACTAGGAAAGTTTTGATCTTTTGCCTTCCCTTTCAGTCATGCAAGTTATTTTGGTCATTTAGGCCATTCTGGTGTATTAAAGTTTAGATCTTGAAATCTTGAGACATTATTATGGATAAAGTTGGAAACTTTATCCATCTAAACATTATGTTGATTCTGATCTGAAGGTTGGAGACTTGGACTTAATGGATTTAGCTGAGAAAGATGCATTTTTGGTCCCTTTGAGACTTAAAGACTAGATCTTGGTTGCTTGGACCATCCTAATGGATAAATTTGGAAACTTTATCCATTATGAAGCTATTTAGGAAATAGATTTGAGGTTATGGGCCTTGGTCTGAAGAGATTAAGCACTTAATGAAGATTTTGGCCTTTTGACCAGAAGTCACGACGTGACATAGGATGTGTCACGATGTGACGGTGTCTAGAATCACAATTGTTTTGTAACATCCGTCTCTCGATATATTATTTAGATTATGTAGCTTAATGTTAGCTTTGGGCTAACACTTGGACAATGGACCTTTAGGGGTGGACCTTAGCAAAAATGGACCAAGAAGTTGGGTTGCCCATAAGCCGTAAGTTGGGCGTAACCTGGCGTACGCAGGGCGTAGTGGCACATTGGATTCGAGGGACTCGGGGGCGTACGCGCAGCGGACCAAGGGGTACGCCCAGCGTATGCGGGCAGATGCCAAACCCTAATTTTTAGGGTTTAAGACATATAAATACCCCATTATAGCCTCCCCTCTAGCCTCCTCACCAGTCCCTCACCCTCAGAAAACACTAGTTCACCTCCTAATCCATTTTTGTGTGTGCTTGACCTTTTTGAGTTCATTTTTGTGAAGAAAGTCTTGGAAGGAGTGAAGAGAAGTTGGAGGAGAAGAACTTGAGTATCTTGAGCTCAAGGATCTGGAACAAGTTCATCTTTTAGCACCCAAAGGAGGTATAAAGCTCCTACCTTTCCTCTTAGAAGTATAGATCTAGGGTTTTGAAGCTTTGGACCTTTTTAGGTCCAAAGAATGGATATTGTTCATGCAACTTCATTTTTGAGCTTAGGGTTGCCACCCTTGAAGCTCAAAAAGTCCCTTAAGCAGTAAAGTTGCAAGCTTTGAAGCTTTTATGTAGCCATGCATGAGATGTAGCCATTTCCATGGAAGTTTATTGCTATTTTTAGAGTTGGGTTCATTTGGTGGGTTGCAAGCCATCAAGTGATCGACTTTATGGGTTAGGATGAAGTATTGGACTCAGATCTGTAGTTTGGACGTAGTGTTTTAAGGGATTAAGCAGTTTTGGAGAAAATGGCTTAAGAGGAGAGTACGATGGGCGTACACGCCAGTACGCGCAGCGTACAAGCCATTCAAGCAGTGCACGCAGCGTATAGAAGGGTATGCTCAGTGTACGCTCAGACATTGGGCTTTATGTAATTAGGCCTCGGTTTGGGCCAGGCCTTGGATATAGCAGTAATTGGGCAGAGATGGGCCTTCAGAAGTCAGTCAAGGGCCCATGGACTTGTTTGACTTGTGAGGAAAAGCCCATTTGAGAAGTTGGGCCCAATTTAGAAAATTGGGCCATTAGTGGGCCTTAGTAGGCCATAAGTGGACTTATAAGGACTAGTTGGAATTGGGTCTTAGATATGGCCCAAAGTTAGAGCAGGGGTAAAATGGTCATTTTACCCTTAGTGGGATTCTTAGTTTTTGACTAAGTGTTTATTTGGTCATAATAGCCGGAGTGTAGTTGGAGCAGCAGACAGAGTTACCTTGCACGAGTTCTCAGCATCCAGATTGAGAGGTGAGTTTCTCTCTAGTAGGAACGAGTCTAAGGCCACAATGCCGGCCCGTTTAGATGTTAGTAGTTCCGGACTTCGGTCTGATGTCGGGACGGTCCCGAGAAGAGTATATGCATGCTTGATGTCTTTGTGATTCATGCATGTTATGTGTTATGTGTTGGAAAGCCCGATGTATGTTAGCTTATCTGTTATATGTTATGTGTTCCGGGTTTCGGCCCGATGCCAGGGTAAGCCTGATGCAATTTATATGTTATGTTATCTGTTTATGATATATGTTATGTTGTGTATGTGTCGGGGAAGCCCGATGTCGGGGCAAGCCCGATGCCAGACGTGGCCTGATGCCGGGGTGAGCCCGATGCCGGGCAGGAGTCCGATGTCGGGTAAGTCGATGTCGGGTTCGTCCCGATGCAGCTGGGCGGAGTCCCAAAGTTATGTTTATGTTATAAGCCGATGTCGGGTTCGTCCCGATGCAGTTGGGAGTAGTCCCAGAGTTATGTTATTTGTTATCTGATATGTGTATGGTATGTGGTAGTTTGGGGGAGCTCACTAAGCTTCGTGCTTACAGTTTCAGTTTTTGTTTCAGGTACTTCAGCTAGCAAAGGGAAGGGCTCGGATTGATAGCATGGCACACACCACAGTCTTTCTGGCCTGGGAGATTACTCTGATATTTTTATCACATGTTTTTGTCACAGTATTTGATATGATGTTTTAAGATACATGATACATGGTTTTCTCTATGATTATGGATGGATTATGGTTTTATAATAATTTTTAAAACGAAATTTTTGGACTGTATTTTTGGGTTGATTCAAGTTGGTATCAGAGCCTTGGTTTGAGGGATTTGCGCACACTCGGGTGTGTCTGAACTCAAACTAAGGAATGGGTATGAAAATTTTCAAAAGAAAATCGTTTTTATAAAAAGAACTTCGAGAAAAAGAAAAGAATTTTGAAAAGAGAAAAGGGTGTGGTGCATGCGATCAGCCGAGCTTAAGTAAGTACTCCCAAATTACCCATATAAGTTATTGTTATGTTATGATTATCAGCTTTATGAGAACAGCATGCTAGATTAGGACTAAGGATCTAGGTAGGATGCCTTATGTGCCTATTATATGTGTATCAGCTTTATAAGAATTTCATGCTAGTTTAGGACTAAGGATATAGAAAGGATGCCTGATGTGCCTGTTATATGTATCTCAGCTTTATGAACTGCATGCTAGTATAGATTAGACAGGGGTAGCCTGAGAGAGATATGCTTGATTATGTTTACTCGATGCTCGAATGCTACTTGCTTTGTGCTTTTAAGAGTTATAGTTATCTTTTACTAAATAGTAAGT